ACATAGAAGCAAAAATCCTCAACAAAATACTGGCTAATCAAATCCAGCTACACATCAGAAAGATCATCCACCCATGCCAAATGGGATTTATCCCTGGGATTCAGGGATGGTTCAACATACACAAATCAATCAAAATGGTACATCATTAACAGAAGAATAAAAACCATATGATTATCTCAATATATGCAGAGAAAGCCTTTGATAAAATATAACATTCTGCATGATAAAACCCTTAAGCAAACTGGGTATAGAAGGAACATTCCTCAACATAATTAAAAGAATACATGAAAAACCCACAGCAAGTATCATATTGAATTCGGAAAAACTGAAAGAATTTCCATAAAGATCTGGAACCAGAAAAGGATGCCCACTTTCACCACTGTTATTCAGTATAGTTCTGTGAGTTTTAGCCAGAGCCATAAGTTAAGAAAAAGAAACCAAGGGATACAAATTGTAAAGGAGAAAGTAAAATATCCCTGTTTGTAGAAGACATGCCCCTATATGTAGGGAACCAACAGTTCCATTAAGAGACTATTGGAACTCTTAAGAACGTTTGATAAAGTTGAAGGATATAAAATCAACACACAAAAATCAATAGGCTTTGTATACACAAACAATGCCATGGCTGAGAAAGAACTTGTAAGAAAAGTATTCCAAGTAGCTACCCTGGAATAAATTAAACCAATGATGTGAACGATCTCTACAATGAAAATTATAAAACATTAAATAAAGAATAAAGAAGACACAAAAAAATGGAAAAATCTTCCCTGTTCACGGATTGGAAGAACTGATAGAATCAAAATGTCCATACTACACAAAGAAATTTACAGAACCAATGGGATCTCGATCAAACTACCAAGGACATTCTTCTCAGATCTAGAAAGTACAAAGCTAAATTTCATATGGAAACACAAGAGACCCCAAATAGCTAAAGCAATCTTAAACAACAAAAGCAAAGCCAGAGGCATCACACTACCAGACTTCAAAACACACTATAGGCAGTTGTAATCAAAACAGCCCAGCACTGGCACTAAAACAGGCATGTAAACAAATGGAACAGAATAGAAACCCCAGAAACTAATCCACACAGCTACAACCAACTAATCTTTGATAAATGAGCTAAAATCAATTCCTGGAGAAAGAACAGTCTCCTCAACAAATAGTGATGGGAAATTTGGATCTACACAGGCAGAAGTGTGAAACAAGACCCCTACCTTATGCAAAAATCAACTCACAATGTATCAAAGATCTAAATCTCCAAGTTGACACCGTCAAATTACTAGAGGAAAACATTGGGGAAACTGGAAGAGATTGGCATAGGCACAGACTTTTTGGGAAAGACCTCAGAAGCACAGGCAATAAAAGCAAAAATAGATAAATGGGATTACATCAAGCTGAGAAGCTTCTACACTGTAATGGAAACACTCAACAAAGTGAAGAGGCAACCAACAGAATGGGAGAAAATATTTGCAAACATGCAGCTGATAAAGGATTAAGATACAGGATCTATAAAGAGCTCAAGAAACAACAACAACAAAACAAACAATCCAGATAAGAAATGGCCAAAGGACATGGATAGTCATTTTTCAAAGGATGAAATACAAATGGCCAACAGACACATGAAAAAATGTTCAGGATTACTAGCTCATCAGGGAAATGTAAATCAAAACCACAATGAGGTTTCACCTCACCCCATTTAGAATGGCTACCATCCAAAAATCAAAAAACAATAAATGTTGGCAAGGATGTGGGAAAAAAGGTACCCTAATACACTGTTGGTGGGAATGTAAACTAATACAAACATTGTGAACAACAGTATAGAGATTCTTCGGAAATCTGAAAATAGATCTACCATTCAACCTACCCATTCTACTCCTGAGAATTTATCCAAAGGAAACAAAATCAGCATATAAAAGAGTTATTTGGAGGCTGGCGCTGTGGCATAGTAAGTTAAGCCTCCACCTGCCATGCTGATTTGTGTCCCAGCTGCTCCTCTTTCAATCCAGCTCTCCGCTAATGGCCTGGGAATGCAGTGAAAGATGGCCCAAGTGCTTGGGACCCTGCACCCATGTGGGAGATGCAAAAGAAGCCCCTGGCTCCTGGCTTTGGATCGGGCCAGCTTCAGCCCTTGTGGCCATTTGGGGAGTGAACCAACATATGGAAGACCTCTCTCTGTCTCCTCCTCTGTCTGTACCTTTGCCTCTCAAATAAATAAATAAATCTTTTTAAAAAAATTACAGAGTGGAATCATTTAAAAAATGTTATTTGTACCTCCATGTTTATTTCAGCTTAATTCACAATAGTTAAGATATGGAATCAACCCAGATGTCCGTCAACTGATGACTAGATAAAGAAATTATGGTCTATGTACACAATGGAATACAACTCAGCCATAAGAAGAATGAAATTCTGTCTTTTGCACAAAATGGATGTAACTGGAAATCATTATGCTTAGTGAAATAAACCAGTCCCAAAAAGACAAATATTGTATGTTTTCTCTATGTGGTAGAATACAAAAAAAAAAGTATAGGAATGAAACAGACATTTTGTGATTGGATTATTTTTAGCCCTTGTTTATACTCCTATGGAACTGTGATCTTCTGTCTTTGTTACTTGTTGAATATCGTTGTTAGCTGCATTAAGCCTGTGATTATAAATTGGATGGAAATTATGTATTTGTAAAAATTAAAGAAAAAAGGAAAGGAGGGGGACTGAGTGAGGGAGATGAGGAGGGAGGGAATTATGGTTATCTTCCTAGAATTGTACCTATAGGGGCTGGCACTGTGGTTTAGCTGGTAAAGCCATTGCCTACAGTGCTAGCATCACATATGGGTGCCAGTTCAAGTTCCAGTTGCTTTGTTTCCGATCCAGCTCCCTGCTAAGGCACCTGGGAAAGCAGAGGAAGAAGGTCAAAGTCTTTCGGCCCCTCCATCCACCTTGGAGGCCCAGAGGAAGATCCTGACTCCCAGCTTTGGATTGGCCCAGCTATGGCCATTGTTGCCACTGGGGAAGTGAACCAGTAGATGGAGGACCTCTCTCTCTCTCTTTGCCTCTCTGTAATCCTGCCTTTCAAATAAATAAATCTTTTTTAAAAAAAATTGTACCTATGAATTACATGAAATCTGTTCTCTTTATATTACTAAAAATTAAAACGTTAAAAAACACTGTATTGCTTTTTGGGCTGTCAGGTTATTTGCATCTCTTATCTGTAGGTGGTGGAAACAGTGTACAATGGTGTGCCACTTGCACTTCTGGTTGGCTTTCAGGGGACAGATTTACAGTTGATCTTAGCCAACAGACTGAGAAGTGATAAAGAGGCCAGATTTAGACATGCTGTTTCAGCTCATTTCTTTAGCAACCCGAGAGGCTGCCAGGCCAGTGTGCAGCATGAAGCAAGAGAAGGCTTTCTGGATGGTCCAGGAAGCTCCACCTGCTGATCCAGTGGATCCAATGTGCCTGGAGCACCTGCGGCAGACAGGGCTGCTGAGTGGCATGTCCAGACAGGAGAATCCTAGCAGCGGCCCCAAGGATTTCGCAGCTGAGCTGTGAATGCCATGGACAGATCTTGGCTTATTGCTGGGCACCAGTAAATACAGCAGCTTGATCATGAGACATTAGGTAACCATGTGACCAGTGCCCAAGTGCCCATATCTGGGAGTTATCTGATCCACCAAGCCACAAAGTCAGCTAACATTTAGCATGTGTGCACAGTGTGCCAGGCTCCGAGCTAAATGCTTTCCTTGTAACATTTAATCCTCACAACATTTCTGATGTTGTACTATTGTTATTTGAATCATCCCCATGCGAGATGAGAAAACTGAAGCAGACACAGGAGAAGTAACTTACCCATTATCACAGCTAATAAGTGGCAGAACTTGGTTAGTACTGGTTCCACAGAACACTTTTACTTACCGAATTATGTATCTTCCTATGTTCAAGTGGCAGTTGTCTGTTAGAACTCGGCTTGAGCAGATACTCAAATTGCACGGTTTTCCCATTCCTACCACACTACCTTCTTCCTCTGCCTACACCTCTGACCTCATGGGATGTTCTCCAAGTCCAAGAGATTGAACAATCAGCACAAGATGATGATGCCAGGGCCAGTGCCATGGCCTACAGGGCCGGCATCCCATGCAAGTGCCAGTTTGTATCCTGGCTGCTCCACTTCCAATCCAGCTCCCTGCTACTGTGCCTGGGAGAGCAGCAGAAGATGGTGTAAGCCTTGGGCCCAGGTGCCCATGTGCAAGCTCCTGGCTCCCGGCTTCAGCCTGGCCCAGCCCTGGCAGTTGTGGCCATTTGGAGAGTGAACCAGCAGATGGAAGATCTCTGTCTCTCTCTTTCTCTCTCTCTCTCTCCCTCTCTGTGGGGAGCAACTCGGACTATACTGTTACTGGAATTAAGACTTATTCTATGCATCTGCTCTCCCACTGTGGGGAGCAACTCGGACTATATTGTTACTGGAATTAAGACTTATTCTATGCATCTGCTCTCCCACAATATGGCGCTGGGAGAGAAGAAAGAGGCTTCTACACAGCTGCCTCCAGTTCAACCAAGGAACTGTAGGACTTGCTCCTGATTGGAGGAGAGCAACGTACTCGGCGTGTGGGCAGCCGAGTTAGGATTGGCGGAGGAGGACTATAAAGGAGGAGAGAGACGGCATGCACCGGGAACATCTATGGGGAACATCTAAGGGAACCCGTGCAGCCCCCGAGAAAGCCGGCCGGCGGTGTGCCGCTCCCCTGCGGAAGTGGGGAATGCGGCCAGGGGGAACTGCCCTTCCACGGAGGTGGAAGGGATAGTAGCCAACCCGGGAAGAACCAGCAGCAAACCCGGGGAGGGCCGAGCAGACGAAAGAACAGCGCAGGGTCCTGTGTCGTTCCTCCACGAAGACGGGGAGCGACACCTCTCCCTCTCTCCCTCTCTCCCTCTCTCTCTACCTCCCTCCCACCCTCCCTCCATCCCTCTGTAACTCTGCTTTTCAAATAAATAAATCTTTGAAGATATATATGATGGTACCAGGCACAGTGTGTTTATGTTCCAGAAGACAGAAGTTTAAGGATTTCATCCTATTGACCACTTTGTGTGAAAGAAGAAATGGCCTGAAGTGCAGATAGCACCAACTGATGGTGAGCAGCTGATGGTTCAGCTCAGCAGGTAGAGACATAGGAGGATTAAGAAGGCAGGGCTGGTTGGAGCCAGTGCTGTGGTGTAGAAGGTTGCGCCTCTGCCTGCAGTGCCTGCATCCCATATGGGCACCGGTTCGAGTCCCGGTTGCTCCACTACTGATCCAGCTCTGTGCTAATGCAACTGGGAAAGCAGCAGAAGATGGCTCAAGTCCTTGGGCCCCTGCACCCATGCGGGAAACCTGGATGAAGCTCCTGGCTTCAGCCTGGTCCAGTACTGGCCTTGCAGCCTTTTGGGGGAGTAAGTCAGCAAATAGAAGATCTCTCTCTCTCTCTTTTTCTCTTCCTTCCCCCCACCCCACCCTTAACTCTGCCTTTCAAATAAATAAGTAATTCTTTTAAAAAAATGCACAAAACAAATTCAAGTCCCTGGTATTAGTTAGACCTGAGTGTAACAGCTGGGAACAATGTGGCCTGGAAAAGTAAGGGATTCTCTGCATGCCATCACTGCCACCATCACCTCAAAGCCAGAGTCCTGGCCCTGCTGGCCTGAGAACTGGACGCCTCCCACACTGGCAGGCAGAGAGGGTCAGCTCCCCCTCTGGTCCTCCCCTGGGCTCCACACTTGTGGAGCACTTTAATGACTTGAAACATGAAGGCGGTCTGAGCAGCGTGGCCTTGAGCTTTCCAGCCCCCACGGTAGGCAAGCAAAGCTAGACGGGAGTGGTTATGGTTGTTGAGGGAGTTATTTATAGAGTGCTATGGATCTCTTCCACCATCACGAACTAGTAATTTATCTTTACTAGAATAGCAACTTCTTCTGGATTTGCTGACCTTGCTTAACAAACCTCTTCCCACACCAACATTCATAGAGTTACTGAAGGCTTATTCACCACCAACCAGGGTATTACACCCAACATTGGTTCTCACCAAGAAGCTACTTTTACAGCCCAAGTGGTAACACAACAAGCTGACACCATGGGGTACTCTAGCCTTACAGAGGAAGCAGAAAAGATTCATCTACAGCACCGCTTGGGAGATGCTGTAGTTTGAACATGATCGGATCCCCCTAGTTCTAAGTTAAGGGTACGGGGAGGCTAGATACTTGATCCAAGTATGGAGTTGAAGATTTGGGCTTCATGGAAGGTCTTTGGGTCACCAAGGGTGTGATCTGGGAAGGCGGTGTTTGTGAGAGGGCCTGAGATGGGCCCATTTGCTCTTTCTCCTTCCTGGTTCGCCATGCAATCCTTCCTCTATACTGGTGTCACTGTCTGCCACCCTCAGTAGACAACCAAGCAATGTCATTGTAAGGTCTTGGGCTGTGAATCTTCAAAACTGTGAACCAAAATAAAACTTCTTCCTTCCTAAGTGGTTTGTCTCAGGGATTTAGTCATGGTCGTGGAGAGCTGACTGACACAGGGGACGAGACCTGTCAAGATGCATTATTTACTCTCAGCCAGCAACCAGGGCACATCGTTTCCCCCACAGCCAGAACACTCGGGTCTAGGAACCAAGAGGTATCCCTGGAAGGGGCGTGACCTTAAGAGCTACTTGCAAAAGAGTTACTTCTTTGCTCCATGACTGGGCTCTGATGATTTAAAGCTTAGGAGAAGTCTCCTACCAGTACAAAACAATACTGGTCCACTTAATTGGAAGCCAAGACCGTCACGTGGTCACTTGTCATAGCGCCTGAGGAACCAGAAAATGAGAGAGCTATATGGTGTGGGCAGTGATGAATCATGGCTAACAATGGAAGATGGTTTATAATAGAGTCACGGAAACTGAGGGGTCCCTTGGAGTCCCCCTGCTGTTGCTATATCCACTGACAAAAAAATGTCCTGGCTGGTCAGGACCACCACGGCTCAGACACTTCACAATGAAAGATTTAAGTCACTCTATTGAGTAAGTAATTCTTGACAGTTAAGGGACTGGCTGAGAGCAAAAAGCACGTGGGATGGGAAGTGTATGAAGGAAATGTCACCCAGCAGCCGTGGCCTGTGGCCTGCTGACCAGCTGTACAGAACACTGTTGCGTCCACCTGTGCGGTCCTTCCTGCCAAGCTGTGTATCTGCTATCATTTTTGAAAAGTGTCCTCTTCTTTCCTGGTCAGTTTCCCCACTAAATGTGTTACCACGCAGCCAAGTCAGTGCAGGAAGATTGAGATGGGATCAAGAGGAACCCAAAAGGAACACCATCACCTAGAGATTTGGTATTATTTTTTTAAGAATTTATTTATTTTATTTGAAAGAGTTACACAGAGAGAGGAGAGACAGAGAGAGACAGGTCTTCCATCCAATAGTTCACTCCCCAGATGGCCGCAACAGCCAGAGCTGCACCGATCCGAAGCCAGGACTAGGAGCTTCCTCCAGGTCTCCCATGCGGGTGCAGGGGCCCAAGGACTCAGGCCATCCTCCACTGCTTTCCCAGGCCACAGCAGAGATCTGGATCAGAAGAGGAGCAGCTGGGACCAGAACCAGTGCCCATATGGGATGCCAGCACTTTAGGCCAGGGCGTTAACCCGCTGAGCCACAGCGCTGGGCCAGAGATTTGGTATTTGAAGGTAGATGTAAGAATGGACTCCATTACTTTGAACTGAGTCCTTTTGAAATCCATGTGGATAGCAAGGGCCCAGGAACTTGGGTCATCTGCCCCGCTTTCCCAGACACATCAGCAGGGAGGCGGATTGGAAGTGGAGTATCCAGGACTCAAACCAGTGCCCAAATGGGATGCTGGCATTGCAGACAGCAATTTAACCTGTTGTGGCACAATGCCAGACCCAATCATTAATATTTTTAATTTAAAAAATCTTTTAACAGTAACTAGTATATGTGTGTATGTGTGAGAGAGAGAGAGATCTTGAGATTTCACTAAACTTTCTGACTGATAACTCTATGCTATAGATACACATTTATTATAAAGACTAACATGCCGGCCGGCGCCGCGGCTCACTAGGCTAATCCTCCACCTAGCAGCGCCGGCACACCGGGTTCTAGTCCCGGTCGGGGCGCCGGATTCTGTCCTGGTTGCCCCTCTTCCAGGCCAGCTCTCTGCTGTGGCCCGGGAGTGCAGTGGAGGATGGCCCAGGTGCTTGGGCCCTGCACCCCACGGGAGACCAGGAGAAGCACCTGGCTCCTGGCTCCTGCCATCGGATCAGCGCGGTGCGCCGGCCGCAGCGCGCCGGCCGCGGCGGCCATTGGAGGGTGAACCAACAGCAAAGGAAGACCTTTCTCTCTGTCTCTCTCTCTCACTGTCTACTCTGCCTGTCAAAAAAAAAAAAAAAAAAAAGACTAACATGTCCCCCCTAAAAGAGAAAACATTTCAGTAAACTTAATTTAAAATGAAAGAAAATGATATTGTAAAGAAAGAGGAAAGGCAGTATACTCATTCAAAATCAATGAAAATAATAGCTTGGGAAAATGTAATAGAGTTAATCATGCTTTCATTTAAGTTTTATTTATTTTTACAAATAGTTGATACAAAATGCAAGGTTACAAGTGAATATTGATTTCATATTTGCTAAAAATATAAAATATTGGTTGACTGAGACAGAGGCCATGGAGGATTATTTTAAGTAGTAGCTACTACATTTACAGATGTTGCCAAGTCAACATTGTATATCCACAGTGGGATGCTCATTATAAATTCTTTTCAATATTTAATATGAGAGAGAGAGAGAAATAGTCCAGTAAGTAGTCAATAAATTTGCCTAATCATCTCACCAGATGCTTCTAGCCTTGCGTGGGTTTTGTAGGAGTCCTACATGCACATTTACCCTTCTTCCCAGCATATATATTCTCAAGGAACTGAAAAAATAAAAATAAAGAAAGAACCTTCATTAGATCAGCAAGGGAAAATTGTATAGTCCTTCTCACGTCCATTACCATACCCACATTCAAAATCTCACACTCTGATGTACGTCCTTTCACGACACAAAAGTCACCCTGATAACTAGACCATGCTAGATGTTGTCCTCGAGACTGAAATCACACTTGTTTGGTGCCCACGCCCTGTCCAGCACAGCCCTGCCCAGCCCTGCCCAGCCCAGCCCGGCCCATCACTGCTGCAGTCAAAGGCTGGGATCCACCCGTGGAGCAGGGGAAGGAAGCTGCAGGTCAGGCCTCATGGACATAACCCAGCGGAGGGGCTGGAATGAGTGTGACGTCCATACACATGTAGACACAGGCACACACACGTTGTAGGGGTAATGAATGAATGAAGGTTCACATGTACAGCTAAGTACTGAACGTGCATGGGTGTGCGTGTGTACTCTATGGGTGTATGTGTAATGTTCACATGTACATGAAGTACTGAACTGTATGGATGTGTGTACTCTGTGGGTGTACATGTAACATTCACATGTACATCTATCACATGTATATCTAAGTACTGAATGTGCATGGGTGTGCGTGTGTACTCTGTGGGTGTACCTGCAATGTTCACATGTACATGAAGTACTGAACGTGTGTGTATGTGTGTACTCTGTGGTGTACATGTAATGTTCACATGTACATCTAAGTACTGAATGTGTATGTGTGTGTCTGTATTCTCTGGGTCTACATATAATATTCACATGTACATAGTACTGAACATGTGTGTGTGTACTCTGCAGGTGTACGTGTAATGTTCACATGTAAATGTAAGTACTGAACGTACATGTGTGTGTACTCTGAGTGTATGTGTAATATTCACAGGTACATTTAAGTACTGGACTGCATGGGGGTGGGGGTGTACTCTGTGGGTGTACATGTAACGTTCACATGTCATCTAAGTACACGTGTGTGTGTATGCATCTCATTTATACAGCAGGGTCCCTCCCTTCTTTGAGTGGAAATCATTGATAAGATGGAGAATAAAGGACAAAATTCTGCCAGGTCTGGAGCGTCAGCTGTTCTCAGAGGGCTCGGCTGTAGCCACGAGCACTCTCTCCATAGTTAATGCAGCTGAAAACAGGCTAGCCAGTGTGTCAGGCTTGTTTCCCTTGCCTAAAACTCCATGAAATGTTCATGGGCGGATGGATTCAACCAACAGGGAACGATTCCACATGAAAACCAAAAATGTATTGCCACTCAAAACGTTAAGGTACAAATATGGGTCACAATAACTTCAAGTGCAAATAAACCTGTTATCTATGTGTGGAAAAATAGAATTAAAATATAAATTTAATTTGATGCAAAAAAATTTTGAAATCCATGCATCGTGTTGTCATAACATGCATTTCTATCAGCTTTTTGAAGCATTCTAACCTTGAAAGCAGTCTGGCTCTGAGCTCAGTCGATACATTCACTTACTAGTAAGCAGAAGCTATTGTGAATTCTCTCTCTCAAGAGAGGAACCCAGTGTCTCGTTTCTAGGAACTTCTGACGGTCTTGGCTGTCCTGCCCCCTCAGGGCCCCATGGGGATGGGCACACAGAGGACAGTGAGCAAATGCCTCACATCACTGCATACAGCTTTTGCTCCTGACGCCTACCTGGTTCCCTGACGCGCACAACAGGGCTGGTCTGGGCTCACAGCTCCAGGCTGCAGGCCCTCCTACCAAGTGGTCCACTCTGTTGACCTCCCACCCACTGCTTTGTAAATTACAGGACAGGAAGTCACAAAGTGGAAAAGGACAGAAGTCCCTGGCCACCTGAAGTGAACATCGACCCTGGTCTGTTTCCACTTCAGGCAGAACTTACAGTACTGGTGAGAAAATTACAAGTCACTACTGGATTCCTGACCCAAGCCATGGGTCTCTGTGCTTAGACGTGGAGGTAAAGGAGAAGGAGTTCCTAGAGTTCCGAGTGCACATGCCTTTCGCTTCAGAGCCAGGGAAGCCAAGCCCGGGGATGGGAGCGTGAGCAGGCAGGTGAGAGGGCAAAGCCACATCCTCCCCCTGGTACCTGTCTGGGGCAGAGCGGGCCCTTCCTTCCCAGGGCCTGTGCCTGCAGGAGGATTTAGATTTGTCAGGGAACTGGCCCCTCCCCACCCACAACCGGGCTACGGCGGCCCTCAGCGGGGCATCCAAAGCGACCCTTCACTCACACTCGGCATCCTGTGGCCCCGGCTGAGGATGAAGTCCCTGAAGGCAGCTGTGGCGTGGAAGTCTGCCAGCCGCTCCTCCTAGAAGGGCGTCCACAGTTAGAGAACCAGGCAGCCATCGAGAGCCTGGTTTCACACTCACCAACCAACTTAGCTCTCTACACAGCACCCATTTTAAATCATCTCCATCTCATTTTCTAAGATGTTCATAAATACTCTTATGAAGGGGCTGACGCTGTGGCATAGCAGGTTAAGTCACCGCCTGCAGCACCAGCATCCCATTTGGGCATTGATTTGAGTCCCCGCCGCTCCACTTCCAATCCAGCTCCCTGCTAATGCAGGAAAGCAGTGGAAGATGGCCCAAGTGCTGGGGCCCCTGCACGCGTGTGGGGGACACAGAAGAAGCTCGTGGCTCCTGGCTTCGGATCAGCTCAGCTCCAGTCATTGCAGCCATTTGGGGAGTGAACCAGTAGATGGAAGATCTCTCTTTCTCCCTCTCTTTAACTTTGCATTTCAAATAAACCTTAAAAAATAATGCTTATGGAAAAAAATAATGCTTATGAGTTGACGAAGAGGAAGGCTTCCAAAGATGTCCTGCTCTCTCCCCTGTGGTGGAATGAGGAGGCCATGCCAAGATGGCCGCTGGCAAGCAAGCCTCAGTTACTCAGGAATGGCTTTGAAACCCAACTGGCATCGGAGCCTGCCTGGCAACAGGCTGTGATTGGATGGCTTTGGAAACCACGTGGCAAATGGAGCCTGTCTGGCAACAGGCTGTGATTGGATGGCTTTGGATACTGCCTGGCAACAGGCTGTGATTGGTTAGGGCATAAACCACCCCTTGACCGGATTGGCTGCCTTGGCTATTTAAGCTGCTGTACCAACTGAAATAAAGGAGTCTGTGGGCTGCTCACCTCTGGCCTGCTTTCACCCGACTCCTGGGGACTGTGTGGTGATTACACACTCTTGCCCCCACCACGCTCCTCCTCTCAGAACAAATCCACAGCAACACTCCCCCTTACCCTTTTTTTCACCCTCATCTTAAGGACAAGCAACACATTTTAGCAATTAGACAGTTGTTGACTTGGACATCTGCAATGTAAGCCATTTGAGGTTAAAACTATATATCCACAACTTACAGATCTTGACTCCAAAGGCATGACCATCAAGAAAGACTTGATCCATTTCTAATATCCTTCTCCTTTTGCATGCATCCTTTTGGTTTTTCTTTACATTTATTTGAATTTTAAAATTGAATGCATAAGATTCAATCATTGAAATTCAATGCTCTAAGACTATTCACTTGGGCCCAGTGTTGTGGCATAGCAGGTACAACAGCGGTGATGCTGGCATCTGATCTGGGCACCAGTTCGAGTGCCAGCTGCTCCACTTCCCATCAGCTCCCTGCTAATGCTCCTGGGAAAAGCAGAAGATGGTCCAAGTCCTAGGACCCCTGCCCCCATGTGGAAGACCCAAGGAAGCTCCTGGCTCCTAGCTTTGGCCTGTGAGCCCCAGACACTGTGGCTATTTGGGGATTGAACCAGCAGATAGAAGATTTCTTTCTCTGTATCTTCCTCTCTCTGTGTAACTCTGACTTTCAAATAAATAAATAAATATTTTTTTAAAAAGACTATTTACCTTCAAAATTAAAATCAGTCAAGAGTCAAAACTCAGGAGATCCAAGCAAGAGAGCTGTGTTGTTGTAGTGACTCCTACTGCCCTGGTGTCTTGCTCATTGATTGGGGTGCCAGAGCCTAGTGGTACCACCTGATGTGCTTAGGACAAGTCATTCCCCAAGTGTTACAGCTGCATGAACATAAAAATCATCGTAGAGTAAACCCACTGTTTCAAATCCTTCCTGTGTCCAAAATTACCTGATAAGTAAACTTTTACTTTAACAGTTATAGCAACCATATTTTTTTCAAGATTTATTTATTTGAAAGGTACAGTTATACACACACACACAGAGAGAGAGAGAGAGAGAGAGAGAGAGAGAGATCTTCCATCTTCTGGTTCACTCCCCAAATAGCTGCAATGGCCAGGGCTGGACCAGACCGAAGCCAGAAGCTAGGAGCTTCATCCCATGAGGGTGGCAGGGGCCCATGTACTTGGGCCATCATCTACTGCTTTCCCAGGCACATTAGCAGGGGGCTGAACAGAAAGTGGAGCAGCCAAGCCTCAACACAGCAATCATATGGGATGCTGATGCTGCAGGCAGCGGCTTTACCTGCTACGTCACACACCGGCCCCAGCACCATATTTTCAAAATTTAAATGATGCTACTATTTCATTAGCTGACTGTAACCATTTTGGAGAAAAAACTTTACTAGCTTTTGTCATCAAAATGAAATATATGTTGCAAAATTCTTTAAGTCTTCAAGAATATTTTAAAATTTCACTTTATTTTTATTTATTTGAAAGACAAGACAGAGACAGAGATCTCTCATCCATCTGATTCATTCCCCAAATGCTTACAACTGCTGGAGCTGAGCCAGGCGAAAGCCAGGAAACTTGAATCCAGTCTGGGTCTCCCATATGGGTGGCAGGGACCCAAGCACTTGAGACATCACCTGCTGCCTCCCAGGGTACACATCAGCAGGAAGACAGAATGGGAAGCTGAGCTGGGATTAGACCCCAGGTACTCCAGTAGGAAGTGAGCATCCCGAGATTGTATTTTTAAAGCAATGACTTCTAGTAGTGGGCGTTCAGCTTGGTAGGTAAGACCTGGACACCTGTGTCCCATCTTGGAGTACCTGGCTTTGACCCCTGGCTCTGGCTCCTGATTCCACAGCTTCCTGCTAATGCAGATCTTGGGAGGCAGCAGTGATAGGTAATGTAGTCCAGTTCCTGATAGAGTTCCAGGCTGAACTGTCACCACTGGCTAGGTCCAGACCCAGCCATTGGATTCTCTCTCTCTCTCTCTCTCTCTCTCTCTCTCTCTCTGTGTGTGTGTGTGTGTGTGTGAGAGAGAGAGAGAGAGAGAGAGAGAGAGACTCTGCCTTTCAAGTAAAATTTTTTAAAGATTTATTTATTTGAAAGACAGAGTTACAGAGATGGGAAAGACAGAGAGAGAAAGGTCTGCTATCCATTGGTTCACTCCCTAAACAGCTGCACAGCTGGAGGTAGGCCCATCCAAAGCCAGGAGCCAGGAGCTTCTTCTGGGTCTCCCAAGTGGGTGCAGGGGCCCAAGCACTTAGGCCATCTTCCACTGCTTTCCCAGGCCATAGCAAAGAGCAGGATTGGGAGTGAAGCAGCCAGGACTCGAACTGGCACCCATATGGGATGCTGGCACTGCAGGCGGCAGCTTTACCTGCGATGCCACAGCATTGGCCCCTCAAATTTTTAAAAGGAACTTCTGGATACCTTAAAGTAAATGTAACTATTTTTGTTTCTAAATATTCAGTCCAGGGACAGGCATTTCACACAGTGTTTAAGATGCCACTAGGGGTGCCCACATTCCTATCATAAAGCCTTGGTTCAAGTCTTATCCCCGCTTCCAATTCCAGCTTCCTGCTATTGTGCACCTGGGGAGGCAGGAGGTGATGGCTCAAGTACTTGGGTCCAGCCACCCGTGTGGGAGACCCAGACTGAGCTGTGGGCTCCTAGCTTTGGCTTGGCCCAGCCCCTGCTACCACAAGCACTTGAAGAATGAGCCAGAGAACAGAATCTCTCTCTCTGTTTCTCTCTCTCTGATTTCAAATAAAATGAAAATAAATAAATACGAATTAAGAAACTCATTGATGTTAACATATACTGAAATGATTAATTCAAAATAAATAAATATTTAACACATTGAGAAAATTTTATTTTTCTAAAAAGATGTATTTATTTGAAAGGCAAAGTTACAGAGAGAGACAGACAGACAAATATCTTTCATCAGCTGGTTCACTCACCAAACAGCTGCCATAGCCAGGGCTGGGCCAGGCCAAAGCCAGGAGCCAGGAGCTTCAGCCGGGTCTCCCATATGAGTGTCAGGGACCCAAGCACTTAGATCATCCCCTGCTGCTCTTTCAGGCCATTAGCAGGGAGCTGGATCGGAAGTGGAGCATCTGGGACTCGAACTGGTGCCTATATGGGATGCCAGCATCACAGGTGGTGGCTTTACCTGCTATGCCACAATGCCAGCCCCATTTTTTACCTTTTTAGAAGTATAACTAGAGTAGTCTCGTGTTATATATTAAATTCCCATAAACATAGGCAGTTATAAAAGTCACACCCTCAGAAATCCTGCTGCACACTTACGTTATCTTGAGGCATTTTATAAGCATGTGTGCTCATAAATTTGGGCCACACCCCACATCTGAAAACATGAATTTATGCCTAGCACCGGAAAAAATGAAAATGACCATTCCTCCTGTCTTAGCTTTCTAATCAAGCAATCCATGATTGATTACTGGCAAATGATAAGTTGAATTTGTACAATATTTTACTTTTTCAAGGTGTCTTCACATCTATCATCTGAGAGAATTTCAGGGTCTGTTGAAAATAAAAAGTTCACAAAGACCTCCCCTCAGAGTCCCTAAGTGTTGCACTGACATTGCCAAGTTTCTGGGACTATGATGAGTATCTGCTTTCCACGGGATGTTTGCACACAAGACGTGGGCGGACTCAGAGTTTAACCATGGTACAACTAAAGTACATCCCTATCGTGTGTGGGTGTCTGTTGCTTTACGAAATCCACAGGGCTTAACCTTTGGCCCTTTCCTCCAACAGATCCTGAAACCCTGATGAACTGCATAAAGGAAATTTCCTGATTGCAATTTTGAATAATTGACATTCATCCATCGCTGATAGGCAACGTCAAGGAGGCCCCAGGACATCAGATCTGACCACCCTGGTCTTTGAACAATCGCCCATGGGATCCATGGTTCCAGGAATGGTAGGAGTACCGTCGCCCCATGTAGAGACATGAAGCCAAGAGATTTCCTATGACTTGGCTTTCCCGTCGCTGGCCTCAAGGAGCCTCTGTACTACCTGAGGGGCTGTGGCTTCAGTGTGCGCTGGAAGTGGCACAGGGGTCACCCGAACTCACATGATCTCAGCACATGCACATACCTGTGCCCGCAGCTTCCTTCTGGAACTCTCATCTTGAGCTTGGCGTAAGACCTTGGGGTCAACCAAAGGTTCATCTGCTCTTTGCTTTCTCCACAGCTTGGTGTTCAGATACCATGCCCCATACCTCATCTTCACCCACTTCGGTCTATGAGGATTCTATAGACAGTAACACAGTTCCCAACATCATTGGTTTTGTTTGTGATTTCAGTAAATCTAAGGTTTAGCTTTTGAGAGAAAACAGTATCATTACTGTAAGTTCATGATTGGTTCTCGCCAAAATATTTTATGATGTTTCATCATACTTCAGTTTTACAAAGAAAAGATGTTCATGGTTGACAAGATAACATAGTGGTTAGGAACATGGCCTTTGGATTCAGACAGACCTGGATTCATATCCAGCCTTTCCCAACTTCCTTCATAGTTGTGAGCCTGCGGACAGGCTGCTTAAATTCTTCATTTGTGCAATGGAGATAACAACAGTAACTCTCTTCCTAGTGCTGTTAAGAAGACTGAAGGAGAAGATCATGGAAAGTACCTAGAATTGATGTAAAAACCACATATGTGACCCAAGGGTAATGGCCATGAACAATAAACCAAAATAGTAAGTCATTTGACTTAGTAATGGCCCAGTACCATACCCAGCCTCATAGATGCTGCACCATTTTTTACTACACTGCTATCTACTATCAACCTCTGTCTCTTTCATTGGAAGATAGAATGAGGAGGGAAAATAGACCCCATTCCTTTCCTTCTCCCGTTCCTCAGTAGTGAATCGAAGACGTAAAGAGAACCTTTTGTTGGTTCAGAGCCGGATGCACCATCCAAGCAGGAGATCTAACCCCTGAGTGAGACAAAGAAACATGAAACTGCAAAGATTCTGCCCCTTTCTTCTCTCGCTCACACTTAAATTAGGTAGTGGAATGTGTGGGGCATTCAGAGTCAAGCCACATATGTCTGACTACCACAGAGAAAATGGGACAGAGCAGTCAGGGAGAACTTCCTCCCAGACCTGAATTTAGCACTGTAGTCTCGCCATTCAGAGCACACTGACCTACTTGCCATTTCTAGAGCACACCTGTCACACATCGGCCCCAGTGCCTTTGCACTCACTGTTCCCTCTACTGTAATGCTCTTCCCCCGGACACCCACAGGGCTCAATCCCTTACCTATTTCATGTCATCTTTTCAGTGGTATCTTCCCTGACCATCTGGTGTAAAAGACAGTACTCCTTATCCTCCTGCCCTACCTCACTTTCTCAACATCACTTATCACCATTTGACATGCTGTATTTTTTCTTTCTTTTCATTCTTTAAACGGTTAGCTTTAGAGATTTTTTTTCCTGGCCACATCTCCCTGCATCTAGAACAATTCTTAGCACATAATAGGCACTCAACAATTATTTCCTAAGTTAAAGTCAAGTTTCTTAACTTTGGCACCATAGATATTTGGGACTAGTAATGCCTTGTTGGGGCAGGGAGGCAGCTTTCCCATGCATTGCAGAACGTCTGGCAGCATTCCTGGCCTCTCGTCCCTGGATGTGTTAGCATCCTTGAGATGTGACCCCCAAGCATGTCATCACCTGACATTGCCCAATATCCCTCGGGTGTGAGAGAGGGAGAAAAACCACTCTCGGTGGAGAGTCACTGTATTCAAGGAAGCAAGGAGAGAGAGAAGAAGGCAGCAGGGAAGAGGAACAGAGTCTACACCATCACACCGAGAAAGTCGAGTTCTGGAATAAGTCATTTCCTGGAGTAACTAGTAATCTTTTAAGACTCAGTACTGTGGGGAGCAACCCGGACTAGACTAAGTTACTGGAATTAAGACTTATTCTATGCATCTGCTCTCCCACAATATGGGGCTGGGAGAGGAGAAAACAGCTTCTACGCAGCTGCCTCTTGCCAACTTGAGTGATGACCTCCAGGAGCTGATCCTGCTCCTGATTGGAGGAGAGCAGCATACTCGGCGTGTGGGTAGCAGAGTTGGGATTGGTGGAAGAGGACGATAAAGGAGGAGAGAGACAACATGCACCAGGAACATCTAAGGGGAACATCTATCTGAAGGAACACCTGTGCAGCCCCCGAGAGAGCCGGCCGGCGGTGTGCCGCTCCCCCGCGGAAGTGGGGAAAAGTGGCAGGGGGAACCGCCCTTCCACAGAGGTGGAAGGGATGGTAGCCAACCCGGGAAGAACCAGCAGCAAACCCGGGGAGGGCCGAGCAGACAAAAAGAACAGCGCAGGGTCCTGTGTCGTTCCTCCGCGAAGAGGGGGAGCGACAAGTACAAACATAACTTCTTCTGTGATGGCTATACTGAACTGCTCCCACCTATGCTTCGTAGAAGTGATTCTTTCTTGCTAGGTTCTCTACATGTGACATCATCTTATTCTGGTTAACTATTCACTTGTTGGCTCCACTAGGCTATAAGCTCCTTAAACGTGAAGGAGTCTTCCATTTGTGTTGATTTGCTCCCTAAGTGCCCCCAGCTCATTGCCCTGAGTTTCCAGGTCACACTCGGGGAGGAGGAGCCCACAGACTCTGAGCTCGGAGGACAGAACTAAGAGTCCAGGGAGACCAAGGCAGCTGAGTTTGCGGCACATAGTAACAGAGGGGAGACAACTGCTCAGGGAGGACTCCCAAGGGTTACAGAGGGTCGGCTCTGTGTGGGGAGGAAAGGAAACTGTTCAAGGTCAGAGAAAAAGCAAGCCAAAGGATTAGAGGGAAAAATGCCCGGGACACACAGGGGACCAGGAACAGTGCCTTCTTCCTCCTGGAAAACCTAAATATGCACAAGACAATGAGAAGAATACACAGAACATCTTACTACAATGTCAGGGAATAATTGGTCCTAGGCTGAACATTGCTGTAGTCCTTCCCAACACGTCTTAAGAGAAAGACCCAAAAGGATCAAACTTTTCCAAATAACTTGATTGCATCATATAATTAATTTCAAGAAAAGTTACAAGAATATGAAAATACACAACACTGAGTAAGGAAAAATTCACAATGCCTAACATCTACTCAAAGATCATCACACATATGTGCAGGCAATGATCCATAACAACAAGATAAATCAATTAATAGAAACTCACAAAGATCAGATACAGATATTAGCATTATCAGACAAGGCATCAGAGCAGTTATAATAAGTATGTTCCATATGTTCAACAGATTAAGTAGAGACATGGAACACAGACTTATATCAAACTTCCAGAGATGAAAATTATGATGTATGAGATTAAAGCATACACTGGAGGGGTTAACAGCAAACAAAACAGTACAGAAAAAAAGATTTGAGAAGTGAAAGAAATAGAAGAGAATAAAAATTAAACAGCAGCTATGAATTTTAATATAGTTTCAAGCAGCCTCATTACATTGCAATTTGAGTCCTGGGAAGGAGTTGAAAGACAAAATACATTTTTGAAGAAATTATGGTCAAAATGTTCCCAAGTGTGGTGAAAACTATAAGCCTACAGATTGAGCTGGCTCAACAGACCCCAAGCATAAGAAATGAAGAAATATACACAAAAGTGTATCACAATCAAGCTGCTCAAAATCAATGGCAAAGAGAAAATCTTAAATTAGCAGAAAAGCAGATCCATAAAAACAAAGTTAGTAATGACCTAAGATACCTCATCAAAAGCATGCAACCAAGAAGACTGTGGAGGACAACCTTAAAGTACAGAAAAAAAAGCAAAAGAGGAACTCAGAATTCAAAATCCCCAAATACCTGTTCACAATGAAGACAGAATAAGGAGAGTCCAGACATACAGAGGCTGGAAGACCACCTCCCTAGCAAATCCACACTGGAAGAATGCTCAGGAAGAACAACCTGAAGAGCTACGGTTTGACCTTTTGCGTGGTGACTCTCCATCGTTTGCCAACCAAAAGCTCGCCAGGTTTGGCAATAACCACCATGGTTCACAAAGCAGCATTTGTGCAATGATTTCTAAGTCCAGAGAATTGAGCAGTGTCATTCGGCTGAGAGTCAGGATGAGCAGGGGTGCAGGCCTTAGGGACCATGGACGTAATTTGTCTGTCTAGTATCATCTTGTATTTCACTTTTTAAGAATTTGAGAGGAAAACGGATATTAGTGATGGGAGGCACAGTTTCACAAACCTCATACAAGAGAGTTGGGAATGAAAGCACAATGCATATCAACCCAGATCAATCAACTGGGTTTAGTTGTAGAGGACAAAAGTCACTATGTCTAAAATATCAGAAATACAATCTCAAAGTCGGTGTGTAAATGGCAGAAGGTGATTAGAGACCATGTATTGTTTTTGACTCTCAGGGAAAGGAATTCCCCTCTCTGCCCCTGACTTAGGTGCTAAAGTCTGATATTGATTGGCACAATTTGACTGTGTGTGTGCAAGTATGTATTTACAGAGGCACAGCAGGCAGAATGATTAGAAAGTACTCTGGGGACCCACGCTACTTCCCTCTGGGACATAGCACGCTATTTCTCCTCTCTGTCCCCTTGTTGTGCCATTGCCACAGCAACCTGGTGCTGAGGAAACAGCAATTTCTTAACAGTCAGGCAAGCATGTGGTCAACAACGGTGGCTTATGGTCAAAAAGACCAGTAAAATCTCAAGAATTCTTTGGACGTAAAATCAGCAGCATTTACAATCATGAACTGTACCAAATCATTAATTTTCCTCTTGTTCATGAATAATAAACATTCACGTATATTTTCACTAGTGGTTAGAATTTCAACATAAGAAAAACACACAAAGATGGTATCTGAAAAGTGACTATTCTGATACTAATAATAATTCTGAATGACATGACTTGATGGATAAGTGACTTTGGTATATGTATTAAATATTCATTTAATAAATGAAAAAAACTCGAGAATTATACTTTAAAAAGCCAGGACTCCCTGACACCAGAATTCAAGGACATTGAAGACTTTACTGCAATTTAATTTTCTTTGACAATCTAATTCCCCTTCTATAATCACCTGGGCCTTATGGGGTTTCCTCTTCTGGTCTAGTTCCTGGAAAAATCCTGGCTCCTGTAGCTTACTGAGCCCCACCCTACAGCGCAGCTCCAGGGGGACCTGGTTGGGCCTCATCACACGCAGCACGTCACGGCTCAGCCTGTTCCGAATGTCAACGTCGAACTGTTTCAGGATGAACTCTTCATCGATGTTCAGATGTCCCTGGAAGAACGCCAAGCCCATCAACCAAGGACAACCGGTGAAATGCTCCCTGGTTGCCTCTTTAATCAATGGGAGGTTCTGACTGGTGTTGGGGGAGGTAGTTTGGAGGAAAGGTAGAAAATGCTTGGTCAGCATCCTTGGGGGCAAGAAGGATTTGGGGTCCACCGGGATTTGTTCATACATTGAAAGACGGGTTAGGACTTGCAAAAGTGAGTCCCTGTGGGAAATAGAGGGGCTGAGGAAATTCAGTCTGTTGGCTCAAAAACAAACTCCCCCAGCACTTCATAGCAACAGCATCCCTAGAGGTGATTCCTGACATGTCTGGACGTGTCCGCCATCGTTCTGCCCACAGCCCTGTAAGGGAAGCTGCCCTGGTCATGACAGAGACCGTGTTTGGCAACTCCACTTCCTCCCCCAGCCACAGAGGGTGGGAGTAGAGATGGACACGTCAACAGCAGCCACTCCGTAGGCTGGCAGTTGGCCTGTGATCCAGCTTAACAGCAAAAGATAAATTAGACTCAACAGATGCCTAGTTTGGAAAACAGAAACTGGAAAACACAAAGAGAATGAGCATTTGCAGCTGGGGCTGAAGCCAGAGTGAGACTTACAGAGAGGAGTCATGAAGGAGAGTCAAGGCATAAGGGGCCATGGAGAGGCAAACCCAAGCTGAACTCATAATGAAGCAGAAACGGAGCCAGCAGAATGAATGAGGTAAAGAAACAAATCGATAGCACAGGAGGAAAAGTATAAGCTAGTGCTGCGAAGAAATATCACAGGGTGGAGTGATAGGGACCTAGGCTGTAGAATTGAGATGGAGACGAGACCTGGGTCATGGGGGACTGAAAATAAGGCCACTTACAGGGCAGCTAAGTTAGTGACCCACTTCCTTACAGTTCCTGCCTAGATGGAGGAGGAGGCTCCCACATGGGCATGGGAGAAATGGAAGGGAATCAGGAAGCAACCAATGCGCCAGAAGATAAATGAGCAGTGGCTTGGACACCAGGTATAGTGGGCCCCGCCTGCCCAGTCCAGCAGACGCCTCCTTCCTCCCTCTCCATCAGTCCGTTCCTGCACACCCCCACCTCTGGGCTGTAAGGTTCCACAGGTGACCTGGCCTGGCCAGTGAGCATACTCCGTCTCCTTAATCAAGGTCGTTATTCAGGCATAGACATGGGACCCACATTAGTTCAATGAGAGTAAGCCCTGGACTTTTCCCTTTGGAAAAGAGTTGCACTCTTCCCACTAAGTTTCATGCTGGAAGGATACAAGATTGGAAATTTAGTGTTTATTTTTGGCATCTCTTGGAGCAGAATTGCCAAAAAATGAAGAGAGAAAAGTGTAGGCAAAAAGACAGGGACAACACCCAAAAAGCTTCTAGCACCTGGATCCGGCTGTGCCTGAAGCTCCTCGGATTTCTGGATGACTCTCTCTTCCCTCTTAAACCAGTCTGGATTATACTCCAGTCTCTTGCAAACTAAACAGTACTAAATAACATATTGACTAAAACATTAAAAAATGGGGTTCCGGGAATGCAAACCCTAGAGAGAGAGTCTTAAATCCAGGGCGACTATCAGGAATCTAGACATCCACAAAGCCTCTGGAACAGGGACAGGTAACAAAGCAGACTTCCGGAAGGAGAGCAACCTTGACAGTTGGGTCAAAAGTCCCTTCAAGTCAGAACAACTTTGTGAAGGTTATGGTCAGGGATAGCTCCCTGAGTCCTTCTAGAAGAATATGACTGAGAAAAAGCAATTTGAAGAAGGAGGAAAGGACAGAGAGACAAGAAACACTGACAAGGAAAATAAAAATATGAAATAACAGCAATGATAAGAGACATAAATTCAAATTAACTGCAAGCTTGAAGACTGTCCCAAAATTTCATCTACCAAGAGACATTTCTGTAGAAATGTCTTAGATGTATGTCTTAGATGATTTGACTTGGCTTTCATTCAAATACTACTTTTTAAACTTTTTAACCTTTTCTGTTTTTATTTATTTGAAAGGCAGAGACAAGAGACACAGACAGAGAATTTGCATGCATGGCTCACTCCCCAGATGACCCAATAGTGAAGATTGGGCTAGGCCAAAGCCAGGAGCCCAGAACTCAGTCTGGGTCTCCCACATGGGTGGCAGAAACCCAAAGCACACGAGCCATCACCTGCTGCCTCCCGGGGTACTTATTAGCAGGGAGCTGGAAGTGGAAGTGGAGCTGGGACTTGAAGACAGCATTTCAGTAGAGGGCACAGGTGTCCCAGGTAGCGGCTTAACCACCTGGCCAAATGTCCATCCCAACACCAGTTTTATTTGTTTTGTTTCTCTTTTCTTGTTTTTTTGTTTGTTTGTTTTTGATAGGCAGAATGGACAGTGAGAGAGAGAGAGACAGAGAGAAAGGTCTTCCTTTTTTCTGTTGGTTCACCCCTCAATGGCCGCTCTGGTTGGCGCACCGCGCTGATCCGAAGCCAGGAACCAGGTGCTTCTCCTGGTCTCCCACGTGGGTGCAGGGCCCAAGGACTTGGGCCATCCTCCACTGCACTCCTAGGCCACAGCAGAGAGCTGGACTGGAAGAGGAGCAACCGGGACAGAATCCGGCGCCCCAACTGGGACTAGAACCTGGTGTGCCAGCGCCGCAGGTGGAGGATTAGCCTAGTGAGCCGCGGCACCGACCAACACCACTTTTAATAAAAGCAACCCTGAGCGTGACTTTTAAAAGTAGTTCAAGGGGCTGGCATTTTGGTTCAGGAGGTTAGGCTGCCATCTGCAGTGCCAGCATCCCATATGAGGGTTGGTTTCAGTTCTGGCTGCTCCACTTCCAATCCAGCTCCCTGCTAATGTGCCTGGGAGGCAGCAGAAGATGGCCTGAGTGCTTGGACCTCTGAGACCCCATGGGAGATCCAGATGGTGTCCCAGGCTCCTGGCTTTGGCCTGGCCCAGGTCCATTGGATTGGATCATGTGGGGAGTCAACCACTGCATGGAAGATTCTCTTTCTCTCTTTCTCTTTCTTTCTCTTTCTTTCTCTTTCTCTCTCTTTCTCTCTCTCTCTCTCTCTCTCTCTCTCTCTCTCTCTCTCTCCCTCCCTCCCTCCCTCCCTCCCTTCCTCTCTGTCACTCTGCCATTCAAATAAATAAATGAGTCTTAAAAAAATGTAGGGTCAGGTATTGCAGCTAACTTACCACAGCAGCAAGCCAGCTGCAGAAGTCACTGACCCCTTTGCGGGCATTGTCCTGAAGAAGAGGACCATTGTCGCGGAGCAAATCCATTTCACTAGCTTTTTCTTCACAGGGCCACTGGCCTGAATGTGACACAGGCGTCTCCTTGGGACTAGAGATAACGAGATTATCCGTGCATGACCATACGAGGTACAGTGAATCCAAGGGGATTTCAAACAGCATTGTCGGGGAAAAGAGATCATCAAGTAAAAGATTCTGGGCCGGCATTGTGGCATAGAGGATTAAGCCACTGCCTGCAGTGCCAGCATCCTGTAAGAGGGCAGTTCAAGTCCCAGCTGCTCCACTTCCAATCCAGCTCCCTGCTAATGCACCTGGGAGGCAGTAGAAAATGCCCAAAGTTGGGGCCAGCACCATGGCACAGTAGGTTAATCCCCTGCTTGTGGCACTGACATCCCTTATGGGTGCCAGTTCTAGTCCCAGCTGCTCCTCTTCCAATCCAGCTCTCTGCTAATGGCCTGGGAAAGGAGTAGACGATGGCCCAAGTGCTTAGGCCCCTGCACCCATGTGGGAGACTGGGAAGAAGCTCCAGGTTCCTGGCTTTGGATCAGCACAGCTCTAGCCGTTGTGGCCATTTGGGGAGTGAACCAACAGAAGGAAGACCTTTCTCTCCATCTCTCCCTCTCACTGTCTATAGCTCTACCTCTCAAGTAAACAAGGGAAGGGAAGGGAAGGGAAGGGAAGGGAAGGGAAGGGAAGGGAAGGGAAGGGAAAGAAATGGCCAAAGTCCTTGGGCCCCTGCATGCATGTGGGAGATCCAGAAGAAGCTCCTGGCTCCTGGCTCAGATCGACCCCACTGTCAGGCCATTGTAACCATCTGGGGAGTGAACCAGTGGATGGAAGATCTCTCTCTCTCTCTCTCTCTCTCTCTCTAATGCTGCCTTTCAAATGAGTAAATTCTTATTTAAAAAAGAAGGAATTTCTAATAGTTTCTTGGAAGCTCAGAGGAATTGCATTTTGATTTTTCAAAGGTCACATTCCTATTATCAATCTCAACACCACAAGATAATGTATTATGATTAATTATAACAAATTTAGATAGCATTTAACCATTATAAGTTGCTATTTAAAATTCCAAGTATCACTTATTAAAATTATACCAGATAAAAACCCAAATTACTGTGTTTAAAGTTTACCAAAACATCACTTCTTAGCCTTTTGGCTAGGATCAAGTGTAAAGTTTACCAAAGCATCACACAATTTTTTAAAATTAAAATACTTTTTAAAAAAATATTTACTTATTTGAAAGTCAGAGTCATAGTGAGACAGGCAAAGACAGAGAGAGGAGAGAGATCTTCCATCTGCTAATTAATTCCCCAGTTGGCCACTGTCGCTCCCCCTCTTCGCGGAGGAACGACACAGGACCCTGCGTTGTTCTTTCGTCTGCTCGGCCCTCCCCGGGTTTGCTGCTGGTTCTTCCCGGGTTGGCTACCAACCCTTCCACCTCCGTGGAAGGGCGGTTCCCCCTAGCCACTTTCCCCACTTCCTCGGGGCAGCGGCACACCGCCGGCCGGCTCTCTCGGGGGCTGCTCAGGTGTTCCTTCAGATAGATGTTCCTGGTGCATGCCGTCTCTCTTCTCCTTTATAGTCCTCCTCCGCCAATCCTAACTCGGCTGCCCACACGCCGAGTACGCTGCTCTCCTCCAATCAGGAGCAGGTCCTGCAGCTTGTCAAGTTGGTGAGAGGCAGCTGGGTAGAAGCTGTTGCCTCCTCTCCCAGCGCCATATTGTGGGAGAGCAGATGCATAGAATAAGTCTTAATTCCAGTAACTCAGTCCAGTCCGGGTTGCTCCCAACAGATCCCCCTTTCTTTTTATTTTATTGGCGTTGATACGCGCCTGTCTTCGGTGTCCCGCGGCACACACTCTGCTCTACTTGCTAGAGTTGCCCACAGGTGCTTACAAGTCCTATCAATCAGGCAAACCGAATCTGGGTCCTCTCTTCGCCATGTTGTGAGGAGGTTTTTAGGCGCTGATGCGTGCCTGTGTTCGGTGCCCTGCAGCGCATGCTCTGTTCTGCTAGAACTGCCTGCAGGCGCTTACAAAACCTAGCAATCAGGCAAACCAAATCCAAGCCTTCTCATTGCCGTATTGTGGGGAGACTTATCGATGTTAATTCGTGCCTATCTTCAGTGACCTGTGGCGCATAAGCTGCTAGCCGCCCGCAGGTGCTCATCGCCTCACTAATCAGGCAGACCGAATCCAAGCTTTCTCATTGCCATGTTGTGGGGAGGCCTTTCTATTTCTCTATTTCTCTATCTCCGGGCATTCCTATTTCTCCCATTTTACTTCTGTCTGCCAACATTCCTATTTCTCTCATTTTACTTCTAAACTTCTGTTTCTCTTATCCTTGCGGCTTCCCGGCGCCTGCCCCGAGGCTGCTTCTCAGCGGCTTCCCGGCTCTGAGCCGCTTCAGCCCGCGCTTCTCCGATCTGCGCGGCTTCCCGGCTTTGCGCGGCTTGGCTTCGCGCGCGCACTCCGCGGTCTCACACTAGCCCAGCATTCCCTATCTACTTGTGCCCCGCACGCTCTCTCTGCGCGCGGCAGCCTCCGCGAGTCACACAGCGTAGCTTACGTCTCCGCCACTAGCATTCAATCCAAGTTCCCCGGACTAACCTGGTGAATTCCAACCTGGCGACCCACGTCTCTGCGTCTGGTTCCAGATCTTCGCCTCTTGCTCCCCGGGGTGACTTGAAGAATTCCAAGGTGGCTTACGTCTCCGCCTCGGCCTGCACTCGCGGCTTCATCCTCCCTAACATTATTCTCTACCCGATATGTTTCCCTAAGTTTTCTTCCAACAATATTCCTCCCTCATTTCTCCTGGCCTCTCCCCACAGTCTGTATCCAAGTCTAAGTTTCTTATAGGTTTCACTTTCACTTTCAACCTGCAGTCCATATCTGAGTCTGTTTCTTCTTGCTTTCACTTTAAATCCTAACTTCTTTCCCACAGTCCATATCCGAGTCTATGCCTAGGCTTTCGATAGCTTCTTCCGGCACCTTTTCTGTCAGGCTTTTCCCTAGGCTCTTCGCTAGTCTCTCTCTCCGGTATTTTCCTGCTTCTTCCCTCCTAGGTTTCCTATCCGAGTCACAGCACCATTATGTCGCTCCCCCTCTTCATGGAGGAACGACACAGGACTCTGCGCTGTTCTTTCGTCTGCTCGGCCCTCCCCGGGTTTGCTGCTGGTTCTTCCCGGGTTGGCTACCAACCCTTCCACCTCTGTGGAAGGGCGGTTCCCCCTAGCCACTTTCCCCACTTCCTCGGGGCAGCGGCACACCGCCGGCCGGCTCTCTCGGGGGCTGCTCAGGTGTTCCTTCAGATAGATGTTCCTGGTGCATGCCGTCTCTCTTCTCCTTTATAGTCCTCCTCCGCCAATCCTAACTCGGCTGCCCACACGCCGAGTACGCTGCTCTCCTCCAATCAGGAGCAGGTCCTGCAGCTTGTCAAGTTGGTGAGAGGCAGCTGGGTAGAAGCTGTTGCCTCCTCTCCCAGCGCCATATTGTGGGAGAGCAGATGCATAGAATAAGTCTTAATTCCAGTAACTCAGTCCAGTCCGGGTTGCTCCCAACAGGCCACAATAGTAGGGCTGGGCCGGGCCAAAGCCAGGAGCCAGGAGCTTCTTCCCAGTCTCCCACGTGGGTGCAGGGGCCCAACCACTTAGGCCATTTTCTGCTGCTTTCCCAGGCCACAGCAGAGAGCTGGATTGGAAGTAAAGCAACTGGGACTGAAACCACCACCCATATGGGAAGCCAGCACTGCAGATGGTGGCTTAATCCACTGTACCACAGCACTGGCCTCCACTAAAAAACATTTTAAAAATTTTTGTAAATTTTATTTGAAATGCAGAGACAGACAGACCAGCAGAGAAAGATCTTCCATCTCCTGGTTCACTCCCCAAATGCCCACAATACCCAGGGCTGGGTCTGGCCATAGCCCCGTACCTGGAACTCATCCAGGTCTCCCATGTAGGTGGCAGGGACCAAGTGTTTGGGCCATGATATGCTATCTTCCAGGGTGCGTATTACCAGGAAACCGAACTGGAAACAGAGTAGCTAGGACTCAAACCAGAACTGTGCTATAGGATGCGGCAATCTGAAACAGTAGTTAAATTAAGATATAGATCGTGTACTACTACAGTCATAAAATTTAGTATTTCAGGAGCCAGCATTATGGTGTAACAGGATAAGTCTCTGCCTGCATCACCAGCATCCCATGTGGACATAGGTTTGAGAACTGGCTGCTCCACTTCCAATCCATCTCCTTGCTAATGTGCCTGGGAAAGCAGCAGAAGATGGTCCAAGTGCTTGGGCCCCTGCACCCATGTGGGAGACCCAGAAGAAACTCCAGGCTCCTGGCTTTGGATCAGATCAGCTCAGCCCTGGCCATTACTGCCATTTGGGGACTGAACCAGTGGATGGAAGATCTGTGTGTGTGTGTGTGGGGGGGGGGTGTTTGTCTTGCCTCCTCTCTCTGTAACTCTGCCTTTCAAATGAATTTTTAAAAAATCTTTAAAAAATACCAAAACAACTACTAGTCCAGAAGTGTATGAGTCAGCTTATACATTCACAAAGTTGTGCAACAATGATCACTCTCTAATTCTGAAACATTTTCATTACCTTCTTGCCCTCCCCCTCTCCAAAAAAAAGAAACCCGCAGAAGTATCAGCAGTCATTCTCCATTTCCACTTTGCCCTCCCCTGACAACTACAAATTTACTTCCTGTCACTGTGGGTGGGCTTAGCCTGGACACTTCCTCTGAACGGAACCACGCAGCATGTGGCTTTTGTGCCTGGTCTTTGACTCAGTCCCGTGCTTTCAAGACTCCTTGTGTTGTAGGAGTATCAGTTGCTGATGGTTATCTGAGTCACTGCCACTGTTTTGTCCCTTAGGGATAATGCTGCCATGGGCATTCCTGTATGTGTTTTTGTATTCAGGAGCTTCATGCTGCTACTCCTGCAATAAACACTTGAATGTTAACACAGCCTCCAAGGCTCTTCCTGGCCTGGTCCTTGCCTGCCTGTATGGGTTCTCCTGAGACTACAACCCTCCCTCACTCTGAGTTCCAGCCATAGTGGCCTTCTTTCTGTTTCATGAATTCTTCAGGCTACTCCTGGCCACAGGGCCCTTGCACACACTGTTCCACCTGACTCAAAGTTTTCAACATTTCCTCACCTCCTTCACATCTCAACATCCCCTTCCCCAGGGGAGCATTCCCACCAGCTGCTGCTCCCTGAACTTACCTTTCATGCATAGTACCCATGTATAATTTATCCACCAATTCACTTGACAAATATGTGTTAAGTACCAATAATGTGCCAGGCATCAGGCATTAGGATTCAGCTGTAAATAAAACTAACTCTCTGTCCTCACAGCAAGTGAATAGGAGAAACAGATACAGAAGAGGTAAACAGAGGCCAGCACTGTGGTGCAATGGGTTAAACCACTGCCTGCAGTGCTGGCATCTCATTGGAGTCCCAGCTGCTCCACTTCCAATTCGGCTCCCTGCCAAGGTGCCTGGAAAAGCAGCAGAAGACGGCCAAGTGCTTGGGCCCCTGCACCCACATGGGAGACCCAGAGGAAGCCCCAGGCTCCTGGTTGCAGATAAGCCCAGCTCCAGCCATTGTGGCCACTTGGGGAGTGAACCAGCAAAGGGAAGATTTCTGCCTGTCTCCCTCCCTCTGTCTGTAACAACCTCTCAAATAAACAAATAAATCTTTAAAAAAAAAAAAAAAGAGTTAAATAAACATAGGGCACGTGATTGATTATAAATGACATTAAAAAAAAAACAGGACAGGAAAGATGAAGAGTGGTGGAAGGGGCCATTTTATTTATATAGAAGAAGGTCTCTATACTACAGTGGTATTTGAGAGAGATGCAAGAAGCAGGGAACCAAGCCATATACGACACCATGCAGCTATCAGGTGGAACAGAACAGCATGTGCAGAGGCCCTGAAATTGGAGCGTGCTGAGCATGCTCAGGGAACAGCTCAGAGGCCAGTGTCTGCAGAGTGACTAAGTGAAAGAGGATGAGGCAAGAGTGGTAACAGGGACCTGAGCGTAGGAGACCTCACAGGCAGTCATAGGGACTTTGGAACTTCCTCTAAGGAAGGAAGCAATCAGAGAATTTCTGGCGTGGGGCTGATTCTGACTTAAGCTTTGTAGAGGGTCATTTTGGCTTCTAGAACATTCTTTGTTTTCTCTTGCTTCGTGAAGCTCTCCTTAGTCTTCTTTCACTGGTCTCTCTTTACCTTCCTTTACCCATGAAGTTCTTCAGACAGGCAGGTTAAGCTGCCACTTGGGACACCCATGTCCCATGTCAGGGTGCCTGGTTTGAGTCCTGGGTACTCTGCATTTCCAATCCAGCATTCCTGCTAATGCGCCTGGGAGGAAGCAGATGATGGCCCAAATGCCCGAGTCTCTGCCACCCACACAGGAGACCTGAATGGAGCTCCTGGCTCCTGGCTTCAGCCTGGCCCAGCCCTGGCTGCCATGGACATTTGGGGACAACCAGTAGATGGGAGCTCTCTCTCTCTCTCTCTCAATAATGGGAGGAAGGAAGGAAGGGAGGGAGGGAGGGAGGGAGGGAGGGGAAAAAGAAGGAAGGACAGGTAATTTTATCTCCTATGTGACAAATGGATGTGGAGGTAGGGGGTGGGGCATCACAGCTGGAGGCCGTGAGACCAGTTAGGCAGCTATTGCAATAACCCAGGAAAGAGATAATTGTATCTTGGAATAGCTGACAGTGGTGGAGAAGGTAAGATTCTGGATGTGTTTCAAAAGTAAACTCATTACAATTTGTGGACAGAGCGTAACTTGCTCTAGAAGCAACTGGAAGAATGGGGTTGTTATTTACTGAGCCAGGAAAGCCAGAAGGAGGAAGAGGCTTGGGAGAGAAATCAAGAGTTCAGTTTCAGACTTGCCTAGCCTGAGATGCCAATTACACAGCCAAGGGCAAAACTGGGCTGCCCACCTACAAGTGGACTGGATGAGGTCACTCGGCTGTGAGCACACATACGGAAAAGAAGCTGCCAGAGACCAAAGCACTTCACGGGTAAAGGAAAGTGAAGAGGGACCAGTCAGAGGGGACTAAGCGAGGGCCATGAGGAGAACCAAGAAGGAAGAATGTTCTAGAAGACAAAAGGAGAAAATGTTACAAGAAAGAGGACACCATCAGTTGTGCCGCTTGCTACTGACACATCAAGGGTGGTGGTCCCAGAACACAGAGGGCGGAGGCAACCTGGGCCCAGGACAGGTTCAGTGCAATGCAGGAGAGGAAAGCCCACTGCTGGGAGTTGCAGAGACGACAGGAGGCGGCAGTGAGTGTGGGCGCCTCCTCCAAGGAAGCAGAGGCTGTCTAGGCAAAGGGCGCTGTTTCCAAGGCAGGAGACGCTACCTCGTGCTGTGGCCCTCGGACAACGGCCCCGAGCAGGTTAGGTGCCAGAGTCTTTGCAGATGTGACAAAGTCACGGAACTCAGATTCGGAGAGTACCCTGGATTGTCTGGGTGGGCCTTGAAAGCCATCACACGTGTCCTTAGAAGAGAGGAAGAGGAAGATTGGCTCACAGAAAGAAGGCAAAGCAGAGGCGTGTGGACTCTGGCCTGCAAGACCGGGTTAGGTGGCCACCCGTCAGTGATGTCCGGAGCTCCCAGCGGCTGGAAACAGCCAGGAATAGCTCCTGCCATGGCCCGTGGAGAGAGCAAGGCCCTGCCCGCTGTGGTCCCAGCACAGGGACACTGGTCACACACTCTTGGCCTCTAAAATTTGGGGAGATAGATTCTGTGTTTCCGCCCCAGTCTGTGTAGATGCACAAACCTAGCGATGTGTCCCACGGGGCTGGAAAAATCACATGCAAACACACCCTATCTGGGAGGGAGTTTATACAACTATATGGATGCTCTCTGTATTTTTACCTTCTCCCCCTTTTAAAAAAATATATGTATTTGTTTATTCAAAAGAGACAGAGACACATCTTTCATGTCCTGGTTCATTGCCCAAATGCCCACAACAGCCAGGGCTAGGCCAGGCTTAAGTCAAGAGCAGGGAACTCCATCTGGGTCTCCCACGTGGGTGGAGGGGCCCAAGGACTTGGGCCATCTTCCACTGCCTTCCCAGGCATATGAGCCGTGAGCTGGATTGGAGGTGGAGCAGTCAGGACTCGAACTGGTGCCCATATATAATGCCAGCATCACAGGCGGCGGCTTTACCCACTACGCCACAGTGCCAGCCTCAAAACACCCAGGGTCTGAGCAACTTAATAAATAACCCAAGTGGCAAAGCCCAGGGCCAGGGTAGATGCCCTCCCTAGCATGGAGGAGCAAGGAGAATGTAGGCTTCCCATTGGGCCTTCTTGCTTGCTCTCCAGGGGAAGAAGGCCAGAAGCGACGTGAGTGTGCCCAGTTACTGTGCCCACACTTCCCAGGGAGTAGACTAAAGGGCTGGAGGCATCACAACGAGAGACTGCTTGTGTCTCACCCCAGTGAACACAGGATTTAATACGTGGAGTCTCCCCTAACCCACCTCCTTGTAGGTAACCCACGTGACCAGCAAAGCTCTCCACAGCCCCTGCCAAGCACCCAATCACAGGGCACACTCCTGCTTGCACCCTGGGTGCCGTGGATGGATGGGTTGCTGTCTAGTGTATTCTACTCTTCAGCACCCCCAGGGAGGTCACTGGATTTTCAGAGTCGAATGTGCACCTCAAAGCTAGTCAGGTGTACTTGTCATTGCACCAACGTGAGATACTTAGGTATGATGTCTGTTGGGGGAACTAGAGTGTGACTGAAAGACAGATGTTCTATTCAGCTCAGTGCTTTGGGAAGCGCGATCAGTGCTGCGATTTAGGCCAGAGGACTGGGAACTTCAAGCAGTGGACTCATTCTCACAAAAAGGCTTTGCATTCAGAGACTAGCAAGTGAATATACAGTGAGGCTTCAGGATAAAGCCCAAGGTTTCCACTAGTCAGTGTCACCTGTCAGAATCCCCCAGGCCCCTGTATTAACCTTCCAGTTTTCCTTTCCTTTTTTTTAAAAAATCCAACCAAGCAGTAGTCTCAACCACTTTGAATCAAAAAGCTTCCGCAATAGGTAATTCAAAGAGCCACTGTAGGCCAGGTCTTGGCAAATCTCACCTTGTCAAAGAGTCCCATGGCACCTGCATGTGCACCACTGCTACATGCATCACATCCAGTTCAGAGGTCAGCGCCCAACCCAGGACTCCGCCCACTCCTCCTCGGGAACTTAGTCATGTTTGACGCTTTAGAATGATCCTAAACCCGGGAAACTTCCAGAACGTGAGGCTGGAATGTTTCAGCCCGCGTGAGGGGGTAAGAGAAGGATACTCACCGCCCCGACGGGACTCCGGTGCAACGTTTTGTGAAAAGCTTCCTGGGTTCCTCCGCACTCTTGCCAGTGTCCTCACAATAAGCCCACGTGTCTTCCAGCTTCCGGTCCGGATCCAGCACATGCAGCACCTTTAATAGGAGCTACAGACAGCAAGCCACTCTCCGAGGGTGCTATGGTTTGGATGTGGCTTGTGCCCCCAAGGGTCTGTGTGTTGGACGTCTGGCACCCAGTGGGGTGGCGGTGTGGAGGGGGTGGAGTTCTGAGAAACCAGAGGGTAACAAGTGACAGGGAAGGAGACGGCTGAGCACAGAGCTCCGGGAAGAAGCGGAGGGAGCCCAGGCATGCGGGTGCAGGTGCTCAGGCACAAGAACAGAGACCCGGATTAGACAGGCTTGTCAGGCCCTCGGAAGAGCAGAAGGTCACAGTGGCTGGAGCAAAGTGGGAGAGGGGGTGACTGGAGTCTCAAGTGCGGGGTGTGGGCCAGACCACGCCACTGGAGGAAACACAGGGGTGCCAGTCTCTTGGGGCAGACAGAGGAAGGCTGCTCTGAGCCCCCGTGAGGCCCTCGCCCCGGGGAGCCCCGCTCTGCCCTCCTTGCTCTCTCCTAGGCAGCCAGAGAGAATGATTTTTTGGGGTCTCAGGGGAGGCATGCCCACAAGCCCTGGGACAGATCACCTCTGCAGGCATGGCGCCTCCGAGATTCGCGTAGAGAGCCAACGGGTGTGGGGCCCGGCGGGCTTCCACCACCCTGGGCAGCCCAGGCTGTCTCTCTGGTCGGACTGGCCTGGGAACCGTGCGATGAATCCGGGGCAGACAGCTCCCCGAGGGGCCGCGGGCGAGCCGACCTCCGGCCTGTGGGCAGCCTTGTCCCACGTCATCCAACCCGCTTCTTACAAAGACCCAGCTCCGGCTGTTCAGGGAGTCTGGGGGCCCCCGCTGGGCCCTGGGCTTTGCTGAGCACCTGGAAGGAAGACAAGGTGCCGGGTCATGCACACCGCAGGCCTGGCGGGGCCCCATCCCCGTGGGGCTGTCAGGGGGACTGGCAAGGGGAGAACTGAGTCCTCCTCACTCCCAGTTCACACCACAGCATCCCATTGGGCCAGGCCCCACGGCTGTTGATTTTCTTGTATATTATGCCCACAGGCTGCTCTCATTTCCCTCCCTTACACAGGCAAAGTCATGGTGATGGATTGGAAATGTAGCCTTTGTTTGCATCCAGTCCAGACACTTCTGGGTTGTCATTTTGTGTGCATGCATTCCTAATTTACTTCAAGGAGACTCTCTCTCTCTTGTTTGCCAAGCACTGTTTTAAGGCCTTACCCATGCATCCTCATGAAAATGGAAGCCATCACTGTGCCTGCCTGACTCAGATAATTCGAGTGTTGGTCTCTTTCCCTGAACCTCTTCTTCCTTTGCACCAAATTTAATCCTTGTTGCACCCAGAAGCAAAACCATTTTGAAGAGACTCCAGCCTGATCTCTAGTGGGTCCCAAAAACGTCTTGCTTGCCGTGTGTACCTGTATGTGTGTGTCTTTAGGGCTTAACACAGCTAAATTACGAAAATCTCCATGAAAGGACGTAAAAGCATTAACTAAAAATTGTTCTCACTGCTAAACAGCTAACTGGCAGAAAGGTGTTGAAACCTAATCTGGAAACAGATGACCCACTCAGCACGACCTATGAGCAAGTAACTGCCCAGATAATTGGATATCATCCCCAAATTGCTTTTCTGCACATTTGCAATTCAAACATCAAGCACTTGAGAAAATTAAATCTTAGAGCCCGCAGTTTTGTTTAAGCGCAGTCAAAACAACTCACGCAGGAGAACATGTGACAGAAGCGAGTGCAAGCCTCATGGGACGTCAGAACTGGCAGCAGCCCTGGACGACACCCAGAGGACATCTGGTCCCCCTCCTCACCTTGAAGCCGTGTTCCAGCAGGTAAGGGAGGCAGCCAGTGGAAGGGGAGAGCTGTCCTCTGCTCCACATCCCCGCTCAGCGACTCTGCTTACCTCTCACACGTCACCACGCCCATGAAAAACCTTGCTTGACCCACAAAATACAACTGATACACTTTTCTGAATGTTCACTGTTTTCACAGATACTTCCTTCTTTAACCACGCAAGAGAGTACTGCCGGACATGTATCCTAAAGAAAACTCACATCTGACAAAGACCTGGCCACCAAGGGTCACAGCAGCTTTATATGTGTAGCAGGCAGAAGCCCCTGAACCACTCCAGCCTGTTCCGCGGGCCACCCAGGCCCCCACCACCACTCAGTAATGGAAACAAACGAAACAGACCGCTGAGACCCCGCAGCTTGGATGGAGCTCACCTACTTTACACTGAGTGAAAAACAGCCCGTCTCAGGATGTTATGTATTGAACCATTCTAATTAGCATCCTCCCGAGAACGGTAGAAACGGGAACAGATGTGTTGTAGCCGAGGGTTGGGGAGTAGGAACAGGAGTGGTTCGTTCGTGGTGACAGAACAGTTTTGTATCTTGATGTATACACATCTCGACATCCAAAATACACACACACACACACACACACGCAAGAACTAACGAAATCCAAGTAAGGTCTGCGTTCAAGGGACTTCGCAAGCTCCCTAAGTAAGGAGCCCTGGTGATGTAACAGGGTACAACCCCAGGCAGCTGCGGGAAGCCCATCTGGGACCTGTGTGGTAATTTTACAACTTCTCCCGCGACTACAATCATTGCCAAACAAGGTTTTCACGTGAGGGTAAAAAGGTTCGGGAAGAGTGTGCACTGCTGACACGTCTGCAGCGCCCACTCCCTGCCCGGGACAGGTGTGCCTGCGCTATCCCCTGCGTGCTCACCAGGGTCCTATAAAAGGCATGCCTCTCACCGACCCCGTGGGGACGGAAGCGCGCCCCGGAGCAGCCACTCGGTGCCCCCGGCTGCCTTATCTCAGGAGAGCGGCGGCCGTCGGCACCCGCCGCCCTGCCCCGGGGGTCCCACAGCCCACACAGGGACCCAGGTGGCCAGGGCACCTGGCGGGGGACTCGGCTCCCAGGCCGAGCAGGCACCCACCCACCCGAGCGGCCTGCGTGGCCGTCAGTGTCCCCTCTGGACACGGCGCCTTCATAGCTGCACCCCCGAGGGCTGTGAGGCGAGGGACGGAAGCGTCCTTTGCCGCGAGGGGCGCCGAGCGCCGGCGGTTTCACATCACAACGACGCAGGTGCAGGTGACACAGGCCCTCCGGCCCGGCTCCCCGCGGCCGTCCCGGGCCATTTCCCCCCAGCCCCCACCCCGCTTCCAGCCCCCGCAAAGCGCCGGTCCCGGGCGCCCCCGCGCGGGCTCACCCCGGCCAGCGGCTCATGCCGGCGGGCAGCACGGACGCCAGCGAGGCCGTCTGCCGCCCGGCTCGGCTCGACTGCCGGGCCCGGGGCGTCTGTGTTCTCGGCCTCCCGCTCCCGTCGCTGGGAGACGGATCCGCCGCGCCTTCGCCCCGGTGCGGCCGGCCTCCCGCACGCCATGGGGCGTGGGCCCGCCTGGGAAGGGCGAAGGCTCGGGCTTCGCTTGCCCGTCCCCGCGTCAGTGTCGCCGAAGCAAAGAAAGGTCTTTTTGCTGGCGGCGGCTCCGTAACTCGAGGACTGCGCGCTGTATGGTCGCCGGCCCATTTCCAGCCCCTTCCAGCTCACACGCTCCAGCAGGGACGTGGCCCCGGGCGGACAGGTGCACGCGGAAGTAGGGGACTGTAGGAGGATGTATTCTGCTCTGGCTAAATCCTCTCGAGTTAAATCTAAGTGTTGCTCCCAGAGGAAATAGCAGAAACCCATTCTCCTGACTCTTGCGATAATTAAATTTTGCCTGTTGCGGTGGGGTGATTTGTCTAGCCCTTTCTCTGGAGTCGTCTTCAAACTCGCTGGGCATCAGTTAGCTTCACCTCTGGGGATTTATTGAGTATGTGGACTGGATCAAAGGAGCCCTGGCCAGAACGGTCCCAGAATCTTCCCTTCCTGCGTGTATTCAGCCGCCTCTCCGGGCACCTGAGATGGCTCTTGGCTCTGTCACTTAGTACACGCACCTCTGGGCACGTGACCTGAACTGTTTATAACTTTCATTAATTACCTCGCCTGAGAATGAGGAAATAATAGCTGCCTATAGGGTTATTGGGAGGATTCCAGGAGATCAGGATCTACTCAACACAAGCACAGCCAATTAAGAAGCCCTCAAGAACTGCTGCGAAATGAGGAAGTGGTATTTGTCAGTTAATGAGGAAAGTTGCATGGGGAATCACTGTAAGTAGCCCAATTATGTAGTTACTTTTATCATATTGGTGTCAGTGTGATTGCAGATTTAAGCTTTTATTACTCTGAGGTGGTGGGATTCCTCCATGAAACAGATGGTGAGGGTCACGCCCATCTTGCCCTGGTACTTGCTGGTCCTCATTCAGCAAATATTGATGGTGTGCACCGTGCAAGGCCCTGAAGATGTAGTGCAGAATGAAACATGCTGGCACCGCGGCTCACTTGGCTAATCCTCCGCCTGCGGCGCTGGCACCCCGGGTTCTAGTCCCGGTTGCTCCTCTTCCAGTCCAGCTCTCTGCTGTGGCCCAGGAAGGCAGTGGAGGATGGCCCAAGTGCTTGGGCCCTGCACCCGCATGGGAGGTCAGGAGGAAGCACCTGGCTCCTGGCTTCAGGTCGGCGCAGTTCTGGCCTTAGCAGCCATTTGGGGGGTGAACCAACGGAAGACCTTTCTCTCTCTCTCTTTCACTGTCTAACTCTGCCTGTCAAAATAAATAAATAAATAAATAGAAAGAATGAAACAGACTTGGTCCTTGTCACCTTGGTACTTAGTTTTGAGGGTTTGTTAAATTAATAAGAAACCATATATTGTCATATCCTCATTAGTTGACATGTGCTCCCTGCAGTAAATCCGACTCCATATTTGATTGGAAACAATTAACACTTTTTGATTTCACCACACATTCCATACTGTAAGTATATTCATTATTTAGGGAATGGTAGAAGCCAAGCACAATAAAATAATCAGGCTTTGAGTGAAAACAGTTATTGTTTTACACTGTATACTTAGCAAAGCTATCTTTCAATAACAGAAACATCTTCAAAAAAGTTAAAACTGCAGCATTTATTGTCAGTAGATCATAACTAAAGAAAATTCTAAAGGTTATGCTTCAGATAAAGGAGAAATAATCACAAAGTGAATACCAAGAAGGAAAATGGAATGTTGACCAAAGAAAATAAGTGAGTAGATACTGTTAAAAAGTGCATTGTATAAAATAGTAATAGTAAAATATATAATAAGTAGAAGTTGACAAAAGAGATTTATGTGAATATCCTTTAATTGGGAAGAGGATAAATATATTGATTAAGGAAGTATAAAGAGCCGGCACCGCGGCTCACTAGGCTAATCCTCCGCCTAGTGGCGCCTGCACACCAGGTTCTAGTCCCGCTCGGGGCGCTGGATTCTGTCCCAGTTGCCCCTCTTCCAGGCCAGCTCTCTGCTGTGGCCTGGGAGTGCAGTGGAGGATGGCCCAAGTGCTTGGGCCCTGCACCCCACGGGAGACCAGGAGAAGCACCTGGCTCCTGCCATCGGATCAGCGCAGAGCGCCGGCTGCGGCGTCCATTGAGGGGGTGAACCAACGGCAAAGGAAGACCTTTCTCTCTGTCTCTCTCTCTCACACAGTCCACTCTGCCTGTCAAAAAAAAAAAAAAAGTATAAAGAAAGATACACTAGGCAGATAACCAAAAGAAACTTCGGGTAACTATATTAATATGAGACAGAAAGGCCTTAAGGTAAAAAGATCATTACAGAGATAAAACTATCACAGATGTTGTTATATGTAAAGATAAAAGGTTAGATTGACAGACACACACTAAGGTACACAGCAGTATGTAATTCTCGATTGTTTGCACCTAATAACAGATTAAAAACATGAGTGAGTCAAACTGTAAAAAGAAATTGATATATACTAATCTACATGATTTGAATAAAACTCCAAGTAATAAGTTAAAGAGACCAAAACAAAAATGTCAGCAAGATGAACTTAAAGCTTGATCACATTTTGCTTATCCATTCATCTGTTGAGGGACACTTGGGTTGTTTCCACGTTTTGGCTTTTGTGAAGCGTGCTCACAGACATCTGAGCGTGCATTCCCTGCCCCCCCCCCCCCAGTACTTAGGAACTTAGCATCTCCTTTCCACCTCAGTGACGAGCCTGTTCTAGACGTCCATACAAGTGGAGGTGTATAGTATTTGCCCTTCCATGTTTGACTTATTTCACTTCACATAGTGCTTTCAAGGTTCATCTTATTGTAATGTGTGTCAGGACTGTTTTCAGTCCTTTGGCATGTACACCCAAGAGTGGAATTGCTGGCTCATGTGGTGAATCTATGTTTACTTTAATGAGAACTACCAAGTTGCTTTCCACATTTGCTCCAACGGTGCCTGAGAATCCTAATCTCTCCTCATCCTCACCAACACTTGTCATTGCCTGGGTTTTCTTTATTTGTATTACTATCGGCATCCTAGTTGAAGTGAAGCAGTAGCTTATTGTTGCATCGATTTGCATTCCCCTAGTGACTAAAGATGTTGGGCATCTTTTAATGTGCTTGCTGGCCATTTGTGTGTCTTCTTAGAAAAATACTATTCAAGTGTTTTTTTTTTAATTTTTTTTTTTTTGACAGGCAGAGTGGACAGTGAGAGAGAGAGACAGAGAGAAAGGTCTTCCTTTGCCGTTGGTTCACCCTCCAATGGCTGCCGCGGCCGGCGCGCTGCAGCCGGCGCACCGCACTGATCCGATGGCAGGAGCCAGGAGCCAGGTGCTTCTCCTGGTCTCCCATGGGGTGCAGGGCCCAAGCACCTGGGCCATCCTCCACTGCACTCCCTGGCCACAGCAGAGAGCTGGCCTGGAAGGGGGTAACCGGGACAGAATCCGGCGCCCCGACCGGGACTAGAACCCGGTGTGCCGGCGCCGCTAGGCGGAGGATTAGCCTAGTGAGCCGCGGCGCCGGCCCTATTCAAGTGTTTTGCCTGTGTTTTCATTGTTCTTTTGTTGTTGGGTGGTACTTTTTTAAGAAAATAAGTTCTGGATTTTAAACTCATCAGGTACATGATTTGTAAATGTTTTTCCCATCCTAGGGGTTGATAAAGGACCTTGATAGGGTCCTTTGATAGACAAAAGTATTTAATTTTAATGAAGTCCACTTATGTATTTTTTCCATTTTTGCCTCTGCTTTTGCTCTCAGATTTAAAAAAATATTGCAAAATTCAAGATTCTGCCAATATATCCCTATATTTTCTTCTAAGAGTTTTTTTTTTTTAAGATTTATTTATTTACTTGAAAGGCAGAGTTACAGAGAGAAGAGAAGAGGGAAGACAGAGAGAGAGAGAGAGAGAGAGAAACAGAGAGAGTTGGACCAGGCTTAAGCCAGGAGCCTGTAACTCATCGAGGTCTCCCATGTGGTGGCAGGACCTCAAACACTTGGACCGTCTTCTGCTGCTAACCCTGGAACATTAGCAGGGGGCTGGATCAGAAGTGGAATAGCCAGGACTTGAACCAGTGCTCATAGGGATGCCAGCGTTGTAGGCAGTGGCTACTTTTAGCTCTTAAATTTAGGTCTTTAATCTGTTTGGAGTTCATTTTTTCTTGTAGTACAAGGGAAGGGCTTAATGCATTTTGCATGCAGATATCCAGTTTTCCCAGTACCATTTATTGAACAGATTACTGAAGAAGCCAAAGCAACTTCGGCTGGCTGACAAGGTCACAGCAGAAGGTCTGTCTCAGCAAGGCGTGAGAAGGACAGCTGCGGTCCTCTTGGTGGTTTTAGGGTTGTTGGGAACTACACTCTGCACGAGAAAGCCAGAGTCCTGGTGGTCCTGCTAATGATTGCTGTATTCCAAATTTTAGGGAAGAGCACTTAGTCTCATAACCTCCAAAATGTCCATTGCTTTGTAGAATTTTAATCAAGCAGAATGCTAGTGTAGGAGTGTGGGGAGCAACTCGGACTAGACTAAGTTACTGGAATTAAGACTTATTCTATGCATCTGCTTTCCCACAATATGGTGCTGAGAAGGGAGAAACAGCTTCTACACAGCTGCCTCCAGTTCAACCAATAAACAGCAGGACCTGCTCCTGATTGGAGGAGAGCAGCGTACTCGGCATGTGGGTAGCAGAGTTGGGATTGGTAGAAGAGGACTATAAAGGAGGAGAGAGACAACATGCACGAGGAACATCTAAGAGGAACATCTGAAGGAACACCTGTGCAGCCCCCGAGAGAGCCGGCCGGCGGTGTGCCGCTCCCCTGTGGAAGTGGGGAATGTGGCCAGGGGGAACTGCCCTTCCACGGAGGTGGAAGGGATAGTAGCCAACCCGGGAAGAACCAGCAGCAAACCCGGGGAGGGCCGAGCAGACGAAAGAACAGCGCAGGGTCCTGTGTCGTTCCTCCACGAAGACGGGGAGCGACATAATGGTGCCGTGACTCGGATATGAAGCCTAGGCAGGGTTTAGTGTCGTTCCTCCACGAAGAGGGGGAGCGACATAGGAGAAAGGGTTAATACCTTATGCAAGATTGAGCTGTTTGTGGAAAAGAATTTAAAGGCAACTGGCCCTCTGGTATATACTTCCCACTAGAATAAAGATAGATGTTAATAAAGCTTTTTTTTTTTTCTTTGACAGGCAGAGTGGACAGTGAGAGAGAGAGACAAAGGTCTTCCTTTGCCGTTGGTTCACCCTCCAATGGCCGCCGCGGCCGGCGCGCTGCGGCCAGCGCACGGCGCTGATCCGATGGCAGGAGCCAGGAGCCAGGTGCTTTTCCTGGTCTCCCATGGGGTGCAGGGCCCAAGCACTTGGGCCATCCTCCACTGCACTCCCGGGCCACAGCAGAGAGCTGGCCTGGAAGAGGGGCAACCGGGACAGAATCCGGCGCCCTGACCGGGACTAGAACCCGGTGT